AAAAAAAAACGGAAAAAGACATATCGGCGTTTATACTTTAACTTCTCAAAAAATCTTGATCATTCAGACATATTGGTACCTCCTTTAATGCTTTTGATTTCAAACACTCAAGACGCAGTTTTCTGATGGAAATTCATTTTTATGTGTAGTCTATTGATAATGTTCATAAGTTAAAACTTTTCACTTTCTACTTTAAGTCTCACGATAACAGACACTGAGGAAGGTCACGGAGTGACATCTTTGTGAGGTATACCTTAAATTTCGTGAAGAAAGTAAAACGTTCAAACTTTAAATCAAGACGCAGAATTATTAAACATATCGAGACACATTCGGCTTCATTAGACGGTCACCCGTTTGGCTACCTCCTTGACGGCGGCGTAAGTCTCTCTCCCAGTGGGCAAGATCTCAGAGGCAGGGATGGCGAAACCTCCAGAGGTGTTATCAGCCGGTCGCAGCTCCAGTGTGTACGCGTACTTGATGCCAGCGACACCTTTCGCCCAGTCGAAAGACCCACCGGCTGCATCGTCTGCTTGTAAAGTGATATACAGAATGATTTAAAAATAGAGATAATAGCTATTGCTATGTAACGAAATACTGAACACCTTACATCGACATTGCAATAAGCGTTTTCATCAACATCGTTTTTCTCGCTGTCACAAAGTAGTGTGTTTTTATGATATTCACAATACATGTATCAAGTACAGTACTTTGGTCCTAAGAAGTATTTTTTTAAAAAAAACTAACAGTATTTACTGTGAATCATAGTATTTCAATATAAAATTAACTGAAGACTTTCAGGATAAATTTACGGAATGAAGAATGTATAGCCATTATATAATTGGGCGACCCACTTCTTTATGGCAACAGTGAAATGTGACGAAATTGCACTTTAGACGAGCACATGTATGCTAGAGTAAGTCTTTGTTCTAGTAAAATATGAAAAATATACTGAAATAATAAATAATAAATGTTTACATACACAGAAGACTTCCGGGTGATCCGACACTGTAACTTTTTCCGTTCACATTTTTGATGGCCGTTTTAGCTAAGTTTGCCACCCTCGTCTGAAATAAAAAGGAAAAAAATGGCGACCAGGTAGTTTTTGCTAGTGCCGTTCTTAGAAAATAAAATTACATCCCTTTTATGTGAAAAGCCCCAGAAGTCAGTCAGGATCTGGCTTTTGGACATCTCTAGTTGTGTTTGATATTGTTCACAAGATAACAGTTGAAGTTGTTGAAGAAGTTAACGTTTGATTATGTCTGTTTGGATCATTTTTACCCAGGTAAAAGCGTATCTGATGCATGTGAAAAAGTGCAAAAGGGCTAAAAGAGTACTGAAGAAAAGACTACCTACCAGTTCACGAATGTCGGAAGGAGCAGATGTGTGTGTGTACCCCCATGGAGTCATGAACATCTGGCCGTAGGAATGGAAGGAAATGTACACCTTGATCTGCTTCCTCTTGTTGTACAAGAACGTCTTCATGTTGAAGACACACTTCTCTGAGAAGGCGGTTTCTCCGCGGTAGATGTCTGAGCAGGGGTTGTTGCTGGTACCGGCCTCTGGAACACGACAGGTATAACGGGGATGAAAAACACTGAATTGTTTCTATAGATAGGACCATTTTCAAATAAAGCTGTATACTTTATCGGTACATTTGTACCGGTACACTTTGAGAGGTTTCATACATGTAATATTGCGTAATTTTTCTCTTGAAATTATACTCATCTGGCTCAGTGTGAAAGCGTGAGCTAGCATCAGTAGCTGCAATTTTGACAGCCACTGTAGTATAGAAATGACTTGAACATCATCGCCATTCGATATGTACAAGAACAGAGCAGCACAAAGAGCTGATGAACTAAACTGTTGAAAGAACATGGAGAGAGCATTGAAATGTTATCTCCAAGCTGGAATTTCAAGATAAAACAATGCACCTGTTTTAGTTAAATTATTGATATAAAGAGGGCAGTACAACTTTTTACACTCATTAAATAGTTCAAATCTAAGAAAAAATGCGTCTTATTTGAACGCTACCTCCAAAATGGAATCCCCAGTTTCTGTTCGGGTCCACCCCGGGGCACGTCCCCCTGTAGTCCGCGGCGTTTCTGGTACGGGTTTTACGCCAGAACCGGTTCTGAAATTAAGGTAATGCAATTTAAACTAAATTGACCTTATTTTGAAAAATAAAATCCACGTTGCTTCTTTATACAACAAACACTACAATTTCGTTTTATGTACATATCATATACATTTGTCCTACAAATGTTAAGACATACATATATCAGTGGTTTAGTCAGTATTGCCTTTCGAAGCATCAAATTAACTGATAAATCAAGAGTTTTAATATAGGTTCTTTTATTTATGTAACTTACATAATTATAACTGTATTCGTATCCGTCTGGATTAGCAATCGGTAAAATATACCACGTGAACTTGTTAATATTGGCGTTGGAGCTGTATTCATTGAGTAGCTGAAGAGAAAGCAATTCTAAAATTTTCCCTATAAAAGTTTACAAAATATGAAAAAATCACCCATATTTTGAGATGGTCCCATTTTTCCTACATGGACACAAAATCTTCCTAACTGGAAAAAGAGCATCTTTCGCCAAAACACCGCTTTAATTATTAATGCGTAAAACTGTGTGTACCAATGTTTTAGTCTAATCTACTTCTATTTACTTTTTTTTTCGAAGCTGTGCACAATTACTTTGGACAGAGATCTCCTATGTTGTCTTTTATAATGTAATATATATTGTGTACCTGGTCGGCGATGTAAATCAGGGTGGCTGAGGCAATCCACTCTCTGGCGTGGAGCGCGGCATCTATCCAGATAGCGGGTTTGTTAGCGGCCTCTCCGATCTTAAATGAATAGAAGAGAAGCTTCAGAAATTTTTATAAAATACCGGAAATTAAATGCACGCATGTTCAGTTATTTATTATTATATATTATGAAAATGTTTATCTTAAAACTATTTATCTTACCGTTAGTAGTTTTTGTATAACAATTTTTCAAAAGATGAGCATATTATATAAGGCTAAAATAATGACTTGCCACCTCTATATGTATGTATATACAAATCTGATCCGCAAATGAATAAATGGGATTTGGAAATGAACACGGGTATGAAATCTTGCCTTCAAAACTTTCATATCTCTGCCTTCGTACGTCTTGCCGATACTCTCCAGGGAGGCAATGGTGCTGTGCTGGGAAGCTTTACTGGCCAGCCACGTGTTCACCTGGAGTGGAATACAAGGTTGGTTCACAAGATCACATACAATATTCCTGACTACAATAATAGTGTTTAATAACTTCGTTTAACTATTGTCTTAAAGGTATGTTACAAGATTTTATACCTCTTTCGACGCCTCATTTTGTTGTAACTACAGACTTGACATTT